CTGCAAAGGAAAGAGAGAGTGAACCATTAGCGACGAGATAACAATACAGCTTCTGATAATTTACGTCGATAAATAGATTTTGATAAGAATGGGAATTAATAATGAACGATGAATATTTGATGTGTGAATAATGAATGGATGAGAAATAGATGAGAGAAAGAGAGAGAGAAAGAGAGAGAAGAGAGAGAGAGAGAGAGAGAGAGAGAGAGAGAGAGAGAGAGAGAGAGAGAGAGAGAGAGAGAGAGAGAGAGAGAGATAGAGAGAGAGAGATAGAGAGAGAGAGATAGAGAGAGAGAGATAGAGAGAGAGAGAGAGAGAGAAAGAGAGAGAGAGAGAGAAACCATTAGTGAAGTTTCTGTTAATTTACATCGATCAATGGATATTTGACAAGAATGGGAATTGATGGTGAATCGATGAATATTTAATGAGGATGTGAATTAATAAGTAATCGATGAATATTTGATAAGAAAATGAGTTAATAACAAATACGTGAAAAAAATTCGTGTAAATAACAAACCAATGAATATCTGATAAGAATATGAACCAATAACGCATATATAATAACAAAAGTATGTAATTAATCAATCGATACATATCTAATCAGAATGAGAATGAATAATGAATCTAGAAATACATACATAAAAAAAAACAAGAAAAGCCAATGAGGTCCCTATATAAATACGTCACGCTAGTATATATGACACAAGACTATAATTACTGTTCCCCACCAGATGGCTGACGGGCCTGGGGACTACGAGAGAGAGAGGCCTATAAGAAATATGGACTCATGCAACCTGCCATTAGACACAGTGAAGTAGGCTAACAAGGGAAAAGAAAGCAACATTGAAAGCAAGACTAGAAAGAGCGGAAAATGCGACGAAGATATCTGTACATTGTTTTCCCTACTTCTAAAAACACAATGTCATTATTCATGTCGAGAAATGTATAAAAAGGTATGGGTGAGAATGAATTTCTTCACAATACACGAGATGTATTTCACCGGTTTTCGTTATATCTTCGTCTCAAAGACATGTGTATTTCGGACGGAAGATAAAATCGAAACCGGTCAAATACAGATATTCATTCTCATTTTCTATTGTGACGATATTCATTCTCATTCATACCTTTTATACACGAAGTCACTATTTTTCTCCTAAAAATGTAAACACTCACGCTCTCCATTTTCTCCACGCATGCACGGCGGGGGAACAAACCCGAATTCTTATATTTATACTGTTATGTTTCTTTTGTTTTATGTCTCGTATATTTCCCATAATACTTTTAAGGGGAAACTCCGGGAAATTAAGCGCAATGTCATCAACAAAGCTGGCAAACCACATATCTTTAAGTCTCTATTACCTTCAACATCACCCGAAACACACACACAGAAAAATAAAAACCAAGTAATTCTAAATGAAAATTAAGAAAAAAAAGATAAAATAGATAAGAAAAAAAACAAAAACATAAGCAGGAATTTTCAGGACAAATAAAAAAAAACAAGCAAAACAAAAAACAAACATAACCAAGGAATTCTCGAGGGAAAAAAGAAAACACGTCATTTCTGTTGATGTCCCGCCGCACAGGGTGTTATTTACGCCACGTCACTGTTACCACGTCTAACCAAGCATCGAGAAGTGTCACGAGGAGGGGAGGGAAGGGGAGAAGAGAGGGGGAGGGGAGGAGGAGAGAAGGGGGAGGAGAGAGGGGGAGGAGAGAGGGGGAGGAGAGAGGGGGAGGAGAGAGGGGAGGAGAGAGGGGGAGGAGGAGGAGAGAGGGGAGGGGAGGGGGAGGAGAGAGGGAGAGGAGGAGGAGGAGGAGGAGGGTTCTGGCAACATTGAGCGCACGATGTCACTGCCTGGCACGTGGTTAGCGACCCCGAGCCGCGCTAAAGTCCCCGATATCCACACGAGCGGAAAAAGGATAGATGTCACCTTTTCTTTTTTATTCTATTTTTATTAGGGGAGGTAATCTATTCTTTTTTTATGAGCAGTAGATCGTATCGTAGAATAAGCTATTGTGGGATGCTTTCGAAATCATCGTTTCTCGAGGCAAAAACCTCCTAAAGCTCGTATCATTAAAAAAAGAAAAAGAAAAAAAAATGCATCAATCCTTTAAGTATTTTCATCATTTATTTTATCTATTTCTTAAACACACACGAGTCGCCTTCCGAAAACCGCCACGCTGCGTCTTACAAGGAAACAAAAAAATATATATATACACAAACATCCGTCTAAATATTACGCAAAGTTGCCATTCTCACTACCGCAACGGACCGTAATAAAAATTGAATTCCTCGTCTTCCTTTTCGTTTTTCTGCTTGAAACATCTCTTCCTGGGCTAAACCGGGCTTATCGTTCAGGGCTACTTAATAACCACAACTTTACTTTACGGACCCCTGGCTGAAGCGGCCATGCAAAGCCCAGGAACAGTAATCTCCTCTCCCCCTCTCCTCCTCCTCAAATAAACCACGCCCCCTTCCTTGAATTAAGGCCATTTCCAA